AATATGAAAATTGTTATTTTGGCGCCGAGAATGATCTGAAACTATCTCAAGCATATAAAATCATGATTTCACGCACTCTTTGCAAGGTTCTATGCTTCATATTTGCATTGTTGCCCTTGCGTGACGTCATTTGTGACGTCACAAGGGTCACCATTTTTCTTCAATAACTCCCGATCAAATTGAGCTAGCGAGTCGGGAAAGCCACCAATGGACTCAGGAAGACCTGCCGAATCGAATGATATGCGACATGACCTCTTTCGACCAACTTCGTGACCTGGGGGTGCTGACCTGAACTTGACCTGAGGTCAACATCCTAAGTTGACCTGACCCGAACAAAAAGTATATCACTCGATGCGCCTGAGCTAGCTGAACACGATGATGCCAAAATCGCGGCTCTACGGCCATTTTTGGCGAAGTTATTTACCAAAAACCGAACCCGTGCCTTAGATCACTTGACCTGACCTCAGAGGTCACCGGTTGACCTGAGATCCTTACAGCGGGTTCCTACCAGTCACTCTGCATTATACTTTGCCGCATACGACCACTTTACCACTTAATTCTAGTTTAATTAGCGGTGCATTAGCGAGGTGGGTTCAATCAACCCCCTCGGCCGGGGCAAATGTAGGTCAGGCGAGTGAATTTGAGGAATTCTGAAGATACGATCGTGTTCCCCACTCAATTCTGCGTAAGATGCCGGGTTCCGTATCTACGTAACTTGAACGTAACGGATACGGCGGCCGCAAACGTAAATCGAGGTCCCGAATTCCCTATTCCTCAACACAGGCGGCAGCCGGTTTCTGGTCTGCGCAATATGGCCGCCACCGTTAGACACTACGGCCAATAGGGTTGAAGCGGCATTGCTCCCCTGTGGGGCAGGCAAAAATCTTCAGCACTATTTCCTCGTCGTGTTAAGGGTATTTTATAAAACATGAAATCAGCAAAGGTATGTATAAAAGTTATACTTTTGAAGCATGTTTTATCATTTTGAAAGGGTATATTTTTTCTTTATGGTATACACTTAATTTTTAAAATTTTAATTGGGAAGTTTTTCTAGTAAGTTGCATGAAGGGTGAAGGGTTCCATAGATCTCTTAAGCATTGTAAAGGAAAAACCTTTACTCGACTTATTTGATGTTCTTTTGACGTATCTTACTTAGTTCAACTTACTTACTACAACTTAGTTCAAATCATGTTATCTTCTTCCTTTTTATTTGTTCATCTTTTTGTCTCAGTTGCGCCATCAATGCAAATGGCAGAATGATATGTTGCCATGACAACAGGATATGCCAGCCGTCCTAGCTGCCACATCAAACGACCTTGAGTTGTAGTGGTGATATAAACAACGATCTTTTTTTGGCCAATGTATTAAATGCAATGTTTCGTTTTTTTTTTTGTATATTGTGGACGCGCTAACCACGTCTAAAAATTCAAATAAGTAAAATAGATTCATAGAACAAAAATTTCGGAAGGTGGCACCCTTCCTTTAAGATATTGTAGATCGAACAAATTCGTCACCACTTATTTGGCACTTGGCGCGTGTCTTGTCCCTCGACCCATACGACTTTGTGCTATGTTCACGTGCTTAAGCTTGGACGTTTCTACATTGTAGATGTAGTTCTAATTCCTGATGTGGTCTTGTTCCGTTTCGTCGTGTCATTAACGAGAACGAAGTGGATAAACTTTCGCTTTTTCCCATAGACAAAGGATTGTGTCATTAGTTCGTTCCCCTACGCGAACGGTGGCGCTAGTGTCGTTCAGCGGGAACGGCTTCCAGGCGCTGATTAAAGGGACCCTCCCACCTTCAAAAAAGTTAATGAATTGGCATGAAAGTTGTCCCTTGGTTCAGAAAGAGCGAAAACGAATATCTACCAAATTTCACCGAAAAATATTCACTGGTTTTCAAGATATTAGGCTTTTACTTTTGTTTACTTTTTGGGATCTCCCCTGTTATTAGCGACTTTATTTGGAAGCAATAATTTGGCAGCCTTAAAGTGCGGCAGACGTTGCGCGCAAAGCAGCGTATACCACCACGTGTTAACGATGGTTTTAGTCTAAGATTTAAAAATCGTTAGATCTCCGCTGACGTCACAAATTCTAAGGGGGCATCCCAATGCATTAGCCCCTTAGAATCCGAAAACTGCAAGTTTGAAATTCCATATCTTCGAATTAAAGCATTTTTCGATGTTGTGAGTGCCCAAACCGGTATTTGCAGGCCATGGCCAACAATTTGGCTATCTCAACTCAAAACTAATGTTAACCCGCGCCCCACTGGGGTCTGTGTATAACACGCCCTACTGGGGGGGGGGGCTATTCATAGCCCCCCTCCTAACTCCGAAACTACTGGGCCGATCGTCAAAATTCAAACGGCGTCTGATAGCCCCGGAAAAAACTGTCGAGCTAAACCTAATTTCATTGACCTCGAGGTCACCGATGACGTCACAGGTCAGGTCAAAGTAAAAATTATTAGCACTTTGGCTTGTTCACATTTTGGGCTCTGGCCGCCGTCTTACAAGTCAGATCAGGCTCATTTTTGGTTTCCACACTCGTGAACAGATGCTCTAGATACCTTGAGGGTACCAAACTTGTACTTTGATTTTCAGGTCAGGGTCAGGTCATCACAGGTCACGAAAATATTATATCATGCGTCGGCCACGTGACACATGTTTTATGGTCCATTTAGGCCATAGATTTCGAATTTGATGTCATCTGTGTCATTCGAGGTCATTTTGAGTCGAATTTAGCTTAGGTCAGGTCACTTTCAGGTCAAAAAAGGTCAAATTTTGAAGTTAAAATTTTTCAACAAAAAAGGTGTCTATTGGATGCAGTTTGAGCTCAGGAACACGATGGTGCCATTTATATTGGTGTACGATGTCAAATACGTACTGAAAAATTGATTGGAAAAATTAATAATTGTGAATTTTTTGCAATAATGCGTATAACTTGGCCATTTTTGAAGATATTTAGCTAAAACTTGCTAGAGTTAGTCATAATCATGCGTTCTGTCACATATATTCCGGTTTTTTCGAAAAGTCAAAAACTTTTTGAAAAAAATGTAAAAATATAAATTTTGAATATTATTATATAAGATTTTCGAAATTTTCAAAATTTTGAAAATCCGAGATAGCAGTTTGGTACCGCGGTCAATTCTGAGTCCTTTCATGCAAAGAAATTGGATCTAGCTTAAAAACTGAGCTCTTGGGAGCGATTGCCGTCGTTCAATGTTTTGCGTCGAAATCGGACGAACATGACGTCACTCTGACGTCATTTCCGGCCGACCTATGGTAGCTACGAAGTTCAAATTTTGACACAAGGTGTAAAATTGATGCAGCCGAAAGTACTGAAAGTTTGGCGTCGATCCGTCAAGCGGTTTGGAAGTTATTGCAGAAAAACGGGAGGGGGGGCTATAAATAGCCCCCCCCCCAGTGGGGCGCGGGTTAAGGTGGGAGTTTTTAATCGTTTGGATGGTTGGCATGGGTGAAGACATTATAGTCAAAATTGATGTGAAAATGATCAATAGGGTGGTCCGTTTTTGGAAAATTTTCGCTGACACAGCTCGGCTGTTGCTCTTTAGATGTGTTTTTGGGCGCTGATCACGAATCTGGCATCAGAATGGCAATTTTCGAAAATTTCGAGACCGCACTGATCGATCAAAGATTTTCAAAATTACTGAATTTTCGACGTTCAGGCTAACCATTGCCAAATGCTGCATCTGTCGATGAAAATTGCGCTAAGGCATGATAGACAAAACCTTTTCAGTCATCTTTACACCAGTCGCAGTCGTCTTGTGTCAATGACACGCCTAAAAAATTCGTCCCATCATTATCTCCACACCCGAGCTTCTGTTGGCGCTCCAGAGATGGCGCTGCTATCGGCTCCGCGCGGCCATCAGCTGCATTGTTTTTTATCGCCGCGACGGTTAGGCGGATTTTGCGGAATGTGGTGTGAGTGTGTTGTAGTATTGAAATGCTTATTATGTTACATATTTTAGACCTAGGTATCCATATTTCAAACCTCGAATACAAATAGGGGAAGTGTTCCTAACCCCCATCCCTACCCCCGTCCAGGTAGTTTATCATCGCTGCACGCTACGTCTTTTGAGATAGAGATCTGAAATTTAGTCTAGCTGCTCATTTATCCTTTGTCGAGCATGACTTAAAATTTGAAGAATCTGTGACCTTTGGTTCTGGAGATATGACCTCGTTTTCAAGGTCATATCACGGCCGAAAACGCCGATTGGCCATGTTTCGCGCAAATTGAACCATGCTTGGCCAATTTGTAGTTGTTGTTTTGTAGTGGTTGTGGTTGTTTTGCCATGTGTACCATTTCGAGAATCAACCAGAGTATGCCTTGAGTCAGCATGAAGGTCGAGGTCATTGTCAAGGTCAAGCTAGGTCACCGTAAATAGCCTGCATAGATGTGCCGCTTTCATGACTGCTGTAAGCCCCTCCAGCCCCCCCCCCCCCAAATCAACACCTCCTTTATTAACGTCTCCGCCTACCCGCGCACCCCCTAACTATCGTAATTCGTAACGTTACTTTTTAATGGCGGCCGATACCTACTACCAACCTCCGGATCGAAGGTAATGTCTGACGGTAGCTCACGCGCTGAGACTAAAAAAGCATCACAGCCGCCAGCGCTGGCAGACATTCCGATCCGAGTCGACCCGAGTGAGATTCTGAGAGTCTGCTGACACTGCCATGGATGCCATAGTACCTATTTTGGTCAAATAGTGAATGTTATTGCTTGGATTATCGTCCACTCTATAAATACCTCACTAGCGAATACTTCGACAGATATATTGACAGACAAAACATATTGGGTTGCACCAATTTAAACGCAGGATACACTGAAGCTTTGACATATAGTTAAAATGCATGACACCGAATACCTACCTACATTTTGAAGAACCGAGAAAAAACTGAGGCAGTCAGTGGTGCCCAATAGGCTACAACAGCAACGCGAAACTTTTCCGCTCATCGAATGTTGCATCTCTCAAATCACTTGCTCCGCAGCCGCCGGCGATAGGCCACCTTGTTCAGGCTGTATCCGTCCTGTCTGTCTCTTCCAGCGACGGCCGCCGCTGCCTCTGTGGTTAGTTTCACACTTCGTTCCGTCGACTGTGTATGGCACGGTATGTGTGTTCTCAGTGGCGTCTCCAGTAGTTCATTCAGCTTCTCCACGCTGAGTGAACGGATGAATGGCGGTTCCACATCGTTCTCCTGTGCGTACTTATTCACATCTACAAGTTCGGTGTATGACTTCGCACCGAGGTTAAGTTCTGGGACCTTGTAGGACCTGACCTTGTCCGGCTTTTGGCGCTCTCGTGCCTCTTGCACCAGCTGCACCGCCTGGTGCCGCACGTCGTCGTCGTCATCACCCAGCATGGCGAGTAGCACCGCCTCGGGGTGAGCCATATAGCCGTTCCTGCGCACACTCTGCTGAACTGTGTCGAGCGCGACACCACTGAGATGCCGGCGCTGTCGCTCCAGCTGATTGTAGAGGTGTTTTGGTGCCTCGACCAGGTCTGGCTGGTGTCTGATGGACATAATTGCCGGCACATACACGGTCACCACATAAACCGCCAGAGTGGTCAGGTCGTCGCTCGGACACTGCTCGGACATGTAAACCCGCAGGAGCCTACTTTGGGCGGTATGCCATCTGGCCATGTTCAGTTTGCCATGTTGGCGGTGGGCCACCGCTGTGCCATTGCCTGATGCAACAGCAGAGGCACACTCCAAAAGCAGGTGGAGGTCCTTGCTGAGGCCACTCAGCACGTCTGGAGGAACCTCGGGCAGCTCCGCACCTGACAGGGGCCGAAACTGGGCCATCGGCAGCTGGTGCACCGGACCCGCCAGCATCCGGCCGATTGGACCGGAGAAGCTGGATGGTCCTGTGGTTTCACCGTCTATGTTCCGAAAGAGCGCTCTGTAAGGCAGTTCTGCTTGGTGGTTGAGACAGACTACCCGCGTGAGTGGTCTGCCGAGGAGCCGCTCAAGGTGAGCCATCAAGCCCCCGCGGTGACCTACCACTGAGTTGGTGCCGTCACCACCAATGGTGGTGACCGTGGACACGTCCACGCCTCGCTCGTTCAGAAAGCTGATGAGCTGTTCAGCTGTTGCCACACCTGTATGCCGATCACTGCACGAAAAGTGTCCGACAAACACGTCGCCCGGATGCATATTAACGGATATGTTGTGAACGGTTTCAGTCAGTTTACCCGTCGCGTCGCTCCGACATTTATCGTTTCTGCCGTCACAAAAAACAGCAGAACAACCCGAGGTACTGGCCCCCACCTCCCTGATCTTTTCCTGCCGTGTTTTATACAGAGAGCGCTGTATCTGGGATCTGCTGACAGGGGCAGCCCCCGCAGCCGCTGAATATTCAGACACTATCTTAGATGCCTTGCGCGATCCCACATCACACGCATCCAGTGCCTCAGATACAGATGACAGATTTGGTTTTTCTCGCGGAGGCTGGTGCCATGCTGGCGGCACAAAGTCAGGATCACTGTTCGATTTGGCAACATAGCTGGAGGCACCGCTTTTGCTGGGGTCGGTATACTCGCCCGGAGAAGTAGCGACCGCGTCTGGAGTTGCCTGGATGCGACGACGAGCTGACCTGGACGCCTCTCGGGTCGGACGGAGGAACTCTGGATGTGCTTCAGAACTCGGCACCGGGTCGAGACAGGACTGTGAGGAGGAAGAGGTCCCGGAGCACGAAGGACCTGGGAGGAAACAAAGACAAAAATATGTCATATATATTGTGTAGTAACATGTATTATATTAGGCAACGACTACACAGCTACATTTCCATTTAAGTTTCCACTTGCTATCTCTTAAATCGTAAAAAGTACATTCAATTCAAAACATTTACGTGAAGGTTCCTTGTGAATGGGGGGGGGAAGCATAGGATGTATCACGTCACCAATTTATTACCCGCGTTTATATATGTAATGTGCCACGAACGAATGGAAAGGAACAATCATTGGCATGCATTCATTCATTCATACTCATTTGTTCATTGTCTGTTACAACCTGGGTAGGAGATGGTCCCAGAGGAAGGTCCGGCAAGACTGTCGGCGGTAGCAGAGCTGCCGGTCGTGGTCACAAAAGCCATCGGAGAACTTGTAGAATCCACTCTTGTGTTTCTTTTAGCTTCTTGAGCCGTTCGCTTAGATCTCCTCCTCCAAAGTGATGTAGTGTCCCGATCAAGACCGGCCCCCGCCGAAGTTAGTTGGTAGCACTGCTGCTCCACGGCGTACATTTCCTACCAGCCCATAGGGTTTACATGTTAAATGGCCTGTTTTCGGCGAGCAATATCTCGGTCAACCTTTGAAGGAATCAATGGTTCTTAGTCTCAAATGATAGATCGATGAATTTTCTTTCGACAATTCCTCTACCATTTTTCACGAAACCCAGCCGATCTTCTACGGCGTACAGGGTAAAGATTTCTCTGCACGCCAGCACCCGCGATCCGCCTCTCCGATCGTCGGCGCGCGGTCCTCGGTAGCGCAGTCGGTAGCGTATCGGGCTACGGATCCGAGGGTCGTGAGTTCGAATCCTGGGAGCGCCGTGTGATTTCGGCTAGAATTGAATGATGTGGAATCTTGAATGTTTGCGTAATCAATTATTAATAGCTAATTGAATGTATCTGCGCACTACTCGGCCCCTAAAACCTGTTATTTAAGAAATTTAAGAAATGAATGTCACGTGCGCGTCACGACTGCCAACCATAAGCGCTGCCATATTCTAATTTGAACTAACTTTTTGCTAGTCCCGACCACATATAGTAGGTTTTCTAGTAGTTATACTAGAAATTCCTACCAAAGTTCGTCCTACCCTACACTCAATATACCCTGGATCAAGACCGCCGATTCGCAGCCGTCGTGCGCCTCGCTGATCGGCCAAAAATGCCCTGTCAGCCTCTAGCTCTGGTGCGCGCGCACGGTTGCTGATGTCAAACAGTGTGCTCATAGAGACTGTGGTGCCACCATATTTTTCCCATCGCTTCCTTTTTCTCTCTTTTGTCATCCACAACTTTCTCACATCTTTCAATACACTCTGATCAGATCGCGTAGGCAGTGAAGCCTTGTGCCACAAAGCCAGTGTCTCATTGGTCACTTTCTTCAAACATGGTTCAATTGGCGCCTTTCGCTCATCAGTTACAGACCGCTCTTCCATCATTTCAATGCGCACCATCAGCAGTCTTCCAATTACATCACCATTCGTTGGAAGCTGCTCTTCCGGCAAACGTTTTGGCTTTATTCCAAACTGACGGTGCGGCTCGTTCATTTTTCGTCGATAGAATTGTCCTTCCATCACTTGGCATAAATGACTCACTCAAGTAACTCAGGTTAAGGTAGATACTAGATAGGTACTTGAACTATTAGCTGCCTGTAAACAATACAATGGAACAGTGAGGATTGAATATTTTGTGTAATAAAACATTTTCCCAGGCATATACCTTTGTAAAAAGTTAAAAACTCCACTTGCCAATATCGAATGCAAGGCCTGTCGGAAAACGGGTAAACATCTATAAAGGAAGGATGTTTGGTATATATGCGACTTAGATGTGAATGCTATTCACTTTTAAAACCACTCATGACCTTAAAATGCGACAAATAAGAACCGCTTTAACTACTTACCACACCACAGCTCATTATCGCAGCACCAGCTGTGCCGTCACGCCGATAAATAAACAATACAGCTGATGGCCGCGCGGAGCCGATAGCAGCGCCATCTCTGGAGCGCCAACAGAAGCTCGGGTGTGGAGATAATGATGGGACGAATTTTTTAGGCGTGTCATTGACACAAGACGACTGCGACTGGTGTAAAGATGACTGAAAAGGTTTTGTCTATCATGCCTTAGCGCAATTTTCATCGACAGATGCAGCATTTGGCAATGGTTAGCCTGAACGTCGAAAATTCAGTAATTTTGAAAATCTTTGATCGATCAGTGCGGTCTCGAAATTTTCGGAAATTGCAATTCTGATGCCAGATTCGTGATCAGCGCCCAAAAACACATCTAAAGAGCAACAGCCGAGCTGTCTCAGCGAAAATTTTCCAAAAACGGACCACCCTAATGATCAATAACATGCCAAAAATTGTATTGGTTCTTTAGTTTACCAAAGAGAAACAAAAGAGACAAGCTTTCGACAACACTGTCATCATCAGGTCTGAGTTTTTGAAATTCCTTTACACACTTCACAACATACAAAAACATATTCGCACGCTACAATGATGGAAAACATTCCTCCGTTTGTATGTAGGTAGATGTCGAGATCCAGATCACAAAATTCTTATTTCAATGAAGTTTGGCATGATATCTAGCTTACGACATGGCGACCGGGCAGTACCTACGCTTTTCATTCGTCAACAAGTGCTTGCGGAGCTGCCGCTCACACTTTTGAACACAGTCTTTATGCGTCAGTTTCTGTGACGCGTCATATCTGAAACATGTTTCGTGAGGCTCCAAAACCATTCAAATCATCTTCAAATTTCAAAAGAAGTGTTCGGTAACATTTTCATGTGTCTTTTGGGCTTAATTGCTAGCTCCATTCATCCTATCTTGTGTGAGGATAGTCATCACTCGGGGACCAGTCGTTGAAAGCAAGAAACAACGATGAGGAGAAGGTCATGTAAAAAGTCGCAACGATTGCATTGAGCATTAAATGACGTAAATATATTTTAACCCCCCCCCCCCCCACCGCCTCAGGCGATCACGTGCCGTCACCCACCTGAACAGATAGCTGTCCCCACGGTTTCCGCGCCTGTGGAATTGAAAGACGTTATCTTATCTGATCAAACAACTAATTCGCCATGCGTCTTCTTACCTGGTGAACCCCAGCCGACCTCTAACCTCCCGGAGACGGTGTCGCTCGCCGGAGAGTGGTGTTGCCCGCCGACCCCGCAGCACAGTGACCCCCGTGTCACGGCCCACTCACGCAGCCGGTCCGCCAAAGGCACAGTGACGTCATGTCGCCAGTCGCCACTGTTCGTCTTGAACGGCGACGCCCCAGCGCAGATGTGAAAGGAGTCTTGCCATTCCAGGGTAGTGATGTCAATTTCAGAAAGCATGTGTCCAATGTCCGTCCAATGTCCAAGGCTGGCGTCGACTGTCCGTCCAAAAATGTCCAAGCCAGCCATTTGTCCAAAGATGTCCGACATCTACGCAATACTTTACACTCAACACCGTTATTTAATTTGCTGTTAATGTATCGTTACCAGCTCAAAAGTGTTAATCATATGGAAAGCTTGGCTTTTTAATAGCCAATCAATGTTAAACACGATTACTTTATAAAAATGTTGATGTGTAGCAAGCGATTGTCCAAAGTTGTCCAAAGCCTGCTGTCATTGTCCAACCGAATTCCGAATTGGACGTTGGACAAAATCGGAATTCCGAAGATTCAAGTTCCGATTGACACCACTATTCCAGGGTCTGACAGGCGGCCGGTGAACGGTAAAACAGCACCTCAGCCGTTTCGATTTCAAAAAGTGGTATTTCCCCGCGCCTGAAAGTACCACTGTTTCGTAGAGATTGTATTGTATTGTATTGTACTTATCGTGGCAAGCCGATCCATCCGAAAATGGCTATTATTGGCTGCCGAGTCAGGTGAAACGAATGAGGTGGGCACAACATTACACACAACACACACGCATCACAATTTGCACACATATTCACATTTGCGCCACCGCGCCGCTTTACACTGGCCGGGTCGCCGTGTTGCTCACGCAGTAGGAGCTTCCGATACTCCCTCCGAAAGAGCCTGTGACCGAGATTGCGCAGCGCCTGAGGCAGAGCGTTATACTGCGATACAGTGGCGTATAGGAACCGGCGGCGCCCGGATTCCGTTCTAATCACGGGTAAATCGAGCAGGTCGGCCTGACGCGTATCACGCCCATGCACGCTACCTCGCGACACAATCGCGTTGGATAGGGCTTCGGGCTCTCCTGTCTCGAGGATTTTCTTTAATAGCGTGACAGACTGTAGACGCCACATATTCTCGGCCGAGAGCCACCACAACTCTTTCAGCACTTCGCTTACATGGTCATACTTCCGCTTGCCCGACACAACACGAGCACCGAAATTGATAAGCCGCTGGAGCCGAGACATCTGGGTGACACCACATCCACCATAGACAACAATGTACTGTTTCGTAGAGATTGTGACTTGTGAGTCGAGACGTAAACATTGCCTTTCGCGCTCCTAGTAAAGCAAAACGTTTCTGTGTGCTAACGCGCAAGGCTGGTTCGATTGTGCTGCACAATCCGGTGTCTGCCCATGTTCCCATAGGACCCCATCCTTAGTCCTAACATTACCGACTCAGTAGATCCACAGGCGAGAATGGGTAGAGAATGGGTACAATCCGACCTCTCCTTGTACATACCGGGTAGCTATCCTTTTTATTCATTATCATAGGCAAATCGAGGGCCAATTTACATATGCGTCTGGCATTCATCATACTTGTGCAACTGTACCCACCCACTGCGCAGTACATTCGCTGCTCCTCCTATGGCCGCTGATTTGACCGGGGCTTGTCCAGGGCTAAGAGTCGGCATGCCGTAGATCTATGTCACAGATCAGAAAGGGAGAGTTAAGCGGACGGTTGGGCACTCGACAGTGCCGTCGGTTTTTACCAAGGCAGTTTTTACGCGGTGCCGTAAAAAGTGCTTTTCTGAAGCGAGATAGGGGCATTCGTGCACCAGTCCAAATAGGAAATGCTGCTGCCTGCTGATCGGCGTTTCAGCTTGACGTTTCAGACAGGTGACGGATCGCGGATTTTCTCAGACCGGTGTGTAGCCCCAGACGGACTACACACTTACACAGAGGGCCTTATCGGGCCCTGCGGCGTCGGTGAGATAGGCAATCAGTTTCGTGGCCCGTATTGTGCTGCTGCAAGCTGGATCGTTTCAGACTGAGAGGGTGTAAAAAAAAAAAAATGCAGCGAGACGACGGCTGCCAACTATACATACTACACTGCCTACTATAGTTTATTTGCAGTATATACTATGGATACTCATATACTATGGATACACACGCATGGTATAGGTTACGCCGGTGACGTTCACTGCCAGCTGAGCTGGCTGTGTTCCCATGGACAGTCGGGGGCCAGGGGTGCCTTATCCCGGCCCGTCGCTCACGTCCCTTGGCCAGTCGCTCTGCGAGTGTGCCGTATCGTCATCGGCCAGTCGGCGCCGCGTGCTATC